CCATTTTCTGCTTTTTTCTGCAGGTACACTTTAAGTATGGATCCTGTGCACTGTTTTATAAATGAGACCCCTTGTCTGTTAGTTTTGGAGAGGAGGAGACCTCTGTGGATAACTGGGCTTCCTGAACGATGAACACTGAAGGAACTCTAGCTAAGAGAAGTTTCAACTAGTTGCAGTCTGCACTCCTCACCGCTAGGTTCCACTAAATCCTCTTACACACTGGACCTTTAAGTGTTCCCAGGTGAGCAGTAATTCCTGTCTGAGGCTGAGGCTTCTGTTACATTTGATCCATGTTGTCTGACATGATACTGAGGTCTCTCCCAAAACCAGACCTGGTATTGGTTATTATCCTGGAGAGATAAAGTATAATGAAATGAACTGAGAATCATCATTTCTACATTTAAAATGTGTGAGCAAAAAATAAAGAACAATCTTTATATCACTGTCCTCTGAAGCTAGTTTTCCTCCACCAAAACATGATATCAGCATTTTCAAACCGATCCACTCAAGAGACCATTTTTGAAGATGCTCTGTTTCTGAGTATGAAACACAGCGGTTGAGTGCGCACACACAGGGCCAAGACGGAGAGAAAAAGATGTGTTTTCAAATTCAGCTGGCTCAGTGTGGGCGTATTCTTACTCGTGGCAGAACTAGGGAAATCATTGTCCACACAATTTTGGATTCATCAATCCATTTATAACACAGTTAGGATTTAAACTGTGAGGGAAACACTTATCAGGGACACATAAGCTGCATTAGAGCACATGCATCCACAGTGCTAAATCTAAGCTGGCACAGCGGCTCCAAAAAAAGGAACAATTACATCACATTAGCTACCTGAACTGGAACATCCCAGCTACTGTACCTCGACTACTTCGTCTGCCTGTGTGATGTAACGAGGCCAGTGTGTGTTGCACTTATAATAATAACTGTTACCTGCCTCCACAAAATGAGGAAACCTTCACTGCTTGGCTGGCTCACTCAGGCCTTCATAGTTGTCTTTCCTTATTTACTTATCTTTATTATCTTATTCTGTTTAATTAAACAAGGTAAGCGTTTCATAATGAATGGATAAGGAGATCAACTAAGGATTAGGAAGGGGGAGAAGCAGTCACATTTCTCCTCACAGGCGACTTGTAGTTGATTTAAAGTCTGTAGTGTTTAAACCTTAAAACTGTCACCAAGATGAATACCACAGTACCACAGTCATTCTCTGTCTACTTCCCACACACACACTATTTCAATAAAACACACTAATTTCAGGCAAAAACATGAAATAAAAATGTGACCTTAAGATTGTTGATCAGAGTGGGCAGTGCATCAGTCTAAAACACTTTAACAACAGATATACACAATCTCATTTCTATGTTTTTTGTGGCATATAATTGGATTTTGGTTATTATTTGCCTTATGGTATCTATCGGCTGTTGATCCTTTTATCATTACATCACACTGACAACTCAATTCAAAGCATCTGAATTAAGCTGAGGATGGGCTGAATGTTATCACCCTGAAAAATAAGGATAAATATATGATTTGATGTGATTCAAACACGACAGAGACGTCTGACAGAGCTCCAGTGTACTGCCATTTCTCATAATACAACACTTCCGGTAAATATTTTCAAAATAAAACAACAAACGCTAATGCATGACCACTTTTTTAAGACAAACACTAAAATGATCCAGCAGGCATGGTCAGGAGTAGAATGGTCTCCTAAAATGAGTGTATCAACAAAATGACAAATACTTCTTATCGAAGCATTAGTTCTTTGATACCAATAATACAAGAATAACCAATAAATAAATAAGTATGTCTTATTAAAGGTCAAGATAAAAACTTTATTGGATCTCCAGGGGGGATTTCCAAGCTTCTTGATTGTATATAAAGTAATAAAATTAATAACTTCTACTCATTGGAAAAGGTGATGAACACATACTAATGCATCCATAATTACAATCCAGTGGTATAATTTACATTAATTTGGCTGTATTACTTTTGGTTCTTAGATCATTAATTTTAAAAGCAGTAGCATACTTTTAAAAAACAAATAAATTAAATAAAATAATAAAAATGGATTTGTTCACTCTAGTCTTAAAGGAGCTATATGTAAGAAATCTAAAGCAAATAATCATAAAATCCTCCTAATATGTCACAGAGACTAAGGAATAATGTTCATATAACATACTGATCTCACCGACAACAATAGCACAGCCAGAATATTCGCATTTTAAAAATATTTTTACTGTTTGCAAATCATGTTTATGTTTTGAATTTGTGTTTTAGCCTGTTGCGCCACCCACCGCTGTCTACCAGTCACGCAGTCAGTAGAGTCTCAGCATCAGTTACAGTTACGACTGAGCTACAGCAGCACGGCAAGCAGCGTTAGCAGTGTCCTGGTACATAGCATTAGTAGCCGGCTCCTCCTCTGCTGTATCCCGGCAGCAGCGTTAGCAGCAGAGAAGCCGGACATGCTCGAACGGTCTGCTGGAAAACCGAAGATCAAGGACGCGGCGACGTGGCCCTGCCACAGCAGCCGCCCGTGGGCAAACAAATCAGTCTCCAGCATGCCGCTGTCCAGCAACCTGAATTTGATTGCAGTAACCGTTTTGGCCACATTCTTACATACAGCGCCTTTAACTAGCTTTGGTTTTCCAGAAACAGATCTGAATCTTTTTCTTGTAACACTTCTAATCTTGCTGGACTTTATTATTTATGGTTTTATGATTTCATGATTTTCTGATTTAATTATTATAAAGTTAACACTTACGGTTTTGCCAATACTGAGCTACTACGCCTTCAGTGTACTCTATTTATCTTATTTTTTAGGGTCTAGGGATGCACGATATCGTATCTTTAGCCGATATCCGATATGTAACAACCAGGGATGGGTCACGATTTTCGAATTTTCGAATAGTTGTTTTATTTTGAAAAATCTATTTTTTAATGCGACTATTACTATTCGCCGTCTTATTTCCCCCCTTTATTTGACATGTAATTCAGCTCCTAACCACACGAGGGCAGTATAGGATTGCTACAGCAGTGTGAGATGGGCTACCAGCTAGTTTGATGCTCTTCTACAAACAGGAGAAACATGCAGAGACTACTACAGTCATCAAAAAGTTCTGTGTGGAACAATTCGACAAAATAAACGAAAATGAGGTGCAGTGCAAACTCTGTGAGGCAAAGCTTGCGTATCACAAGTCTACAACAAGTATGCACAGTCATTTGAGAGCGAGGCACGCAGGAGGCGGCGAGGGACCGTACGGCTGGGCTCTGCGTCGCGACACGTCTGCATCGCGAGTCCCGTAGCAGCTTGCCCCCCTGTTAATCAATTACAGCGGCTCCACCAGCAACGGGAGCAGCGCGACAACCCCCGTCTGTTGCGCGACAACTCTCTATTTTACGCGGCTCTTCTATTTTTGTTGCGCTACGCTCCCCTACGCGACCCTCCAGCAGATAAAAACTACATGAAATAGTGTGCTAAACGTGCACAGTTTGTTTTTAAATGAATAAACCATTATCAGAGGTGATATGTGATGAATTTTTTTTTCACGCATTTACCAATGTTTATCCGTGACATTGTGTAAATGTCCGTGGCGGACATTTGAAAGCGAGTAGATGACAAACAGTAGAGTAAAGTTGTAGATATAAGCAGCCTACATGCAGCCTCTCAGCTCAGCAAACGGTAAACAACCCCGCTGGCTTCTCTACGTGTCGCTTCCGTACGCAGTCAGTGGAGCCCAAATGAATATGACATGACGCTACGCTGACGTGACGCAATGTATGGATCTCTGTGTGCGTGGCTCCCGGGGGGGGGGAATTATTCGAAAAATCGTTGAATACTTGCCATGATTTTCAAATTGTGTTTTTGCTTGTGCTGCCCATCCCTAGTAACAACTCATTTCACCAATAACTGACACTGATATCGATAAAGTGATCATCAAGTCTCCTCTGTAGTGTACTTAACATCATACTATGCATGCATACTCTTATCGTGACGGCCCACCAGCAGATGGAGACATGAAGTACAAAACTTTTCATTGATTATAATATTCATTCATTGTGCAAATTTTAAAAAAGCATATTGGCCGATTTCAAAACTTTATTTTAAAGCCAATATCAGCTGATATCGATGACGTGCTGATATTATCATGCATCCCTGTCCTTTTGTATTGAATTGCCATCTAGGCATGTTTATGTTTATTTTGTCTATTTCATATAAAGCACTGAGAGCATATATTGACCTTGTGCTACATTTCTTGTGTGAAAGGAGCTATATAAGTAAAGTTTATTATCATTATTATTATTAGTATAATTATATTACTCTTACAAGATTTTCTACATTGTGGTATTACTATTTTAATTAGGCACAAAAGCTGAGTACTTCCTCCACCACCATTTATATCAATGTGAAATAAATATGTTTAATTTATGGGCTGTAAGTCGGACAAAAAAATGACACTTTATTAACACTGTTATTTAACTGTTCTCTAACGATAAACACACCAATAACTAGCTGCAGTCAAAGTTAATTTATTCAAGCGACAATTACTTTATTCTTAGAAGCTTTTACTTTGATTTATTTTCTTAATGTTACGACACTTCCGTCGTTACTTTGCTGCGCACTTGACGCACCTCCAGCTAGCATGCTAGCCTGCTAGCTAAGCCGTAACAGTATTTCTGTATTTCCTCAGCAGCTAACTAGCCGTGTGACAACATTACACCGAGACACACATCGACGGTACTGTAAACGTTGATGTGTGGCAATGTGTCAGTTGAAAGAAGCAGAAATAACAAAATAATTCAACAATATTGTCATTAAAACAAACAGACAAAAAACAACGGATACGCTCTTTTTTTAATGTCAGCACGGAGCTAACGGTAGCTAGGTTAGCCTGGGGTGCTAGTTCTGAAGCTAGCAGTGCAGTCGAAGGAGGAGAATCTGTTTTTACAGAATGACATTATGATTTTAAAAATTAAGTGCAGCATTTTCTTACCATTTTGGTGCAGGGGGGGTCTGAAGCTGCTTGGAGAGTAATTCAAAGCTCCGGTAACGGCTCGACGCGGTCAGATACAGACGACGTTTTAACGAGGTTTGTGACTTTTAACGGTGAGATACCGACCACCGGCTGTCTGACTTTACGGTTTGTGACAGCGGGGGAGAGATTCACTGCAGCGCCAGCAGATAGAGCCGCAGAGGGGGAGAGTGAAGAGGGAGAGAGGAGGAGGAGGAGGAGGAGGAGTGGAAGGTGCAAACCAAAGCTCGTCTATTGAGCAGAGGAACCACTCGACTTCATAAAAACAAACACTGAATCACAAACAGCCACATCTGGTGGAATGTAGCTATTTAGGGACTGTTCGTTACTTGTGAGGGGGGAGGGGTGGTGCAAAAAATATTTATTTTATTTATTGATTTATTTAAAAAAAAAAAAGGGACAATGTGCATTAATCAACATTTTAATTTTAGTTTTCATCAGCAGTCCCTTTGCCAGCAGTGGATCTGAAGGTCATGAGGCCAGATAGAGGAGGAGGTGCTGAACCACGCATAATCTTATATACAAGACAAATATTTTTAAACATGATGAGGTTTTCCCAGCTCAGTAGTTTTGAGTGCTTGTTTGGGGAGGCATGTCAAGCACTGACGAGGGACTTACGTACTTTTTTAAAATTTGAAAAGGCTGTATTTTGTGTTTATTTTACTGCCGATTCTTAAATTCTACATTCTTTCACACACAGCCAGAAACTGTAAAAATAAAAATTATTGTTAGATTTTCAAACTTATGACCGTTCTTGGACACATCTTGTGTGACAAATAAATAAGTGATATTTCATCAAAATCATTTTATTCTTTGTTATTCAACATTCAACAACAGTTTAACTCACCAGCTCGCAAGACAAGAGTGAAAAAACAAGGGCTTTTTCAATTCCAGGATTTCATCTTCAACTTTTAACTTAAAGTCTAATAACTAATTTATGGTCGAGGGAGGGCTGTGTGTTTTGAGGGGGAAGGGGGTGCTGCTAAAAGGAGGAGGCATGTCAATTTTTTAAGCACTGCAAGGGACTTACATTTTTTTATTCTAGCCAAGACTGCATTTGCAATCATTTGGCCTGTGATTCAACAGAGCAAAGCACACTGAAATAACTACATCTTAAAAGATACCTGTGTTTGTGTTGACTACACCTAAGTTCCCCGCTGCCTCCTGTCTTTGAGCTAAGCTAGGCTAAACACAGCCTGTTTTTATTTTATCGTATTTTACTTTTTTTGCAAAGAGTGATTTATCACCTTCAACACACACAATCTTTGGAGCAAAAAACGGTTCAGCACATCCAGTTTCCCCCTCACTATCTGATGGGGGAAACATCATAGATCACTGACAACAACAAACATAAATAGTCATGTTTTTATCACAACACAATCCTGTTTTTTACATAAATAAATGCTCAGGAAATCTTTCTGTTTAGTAGCAGTAGAGTGTACTTTCCCTAAATTTAAAGACATACATCACGGCCACAGTGTGCACATTCTTTTGGATGTGATGCACAATAAACTGCTTCTTATATTACACCTACATTATAGTCTATATTTGTTTGGCATGTAAAATTTTATCCTGAGAGGGGATTATTATTATTTGATATACAGGAGAGTGCTAGGCAGTGGCATTGTTCGGACTGGGCATCTGAGGTTTCAGCCCTGAATGTTTCATGAACAGCCCCAGATCTAAATAAGCTGTATATATTTTATATATCAAAATAATATATCATTGATCAGAAACAAGTTTTGGGTCCTCTCTGTCATTCAAGCAGCACATTCTGTTTGATTGTGCACAAGAGAGTGAAGCACACCAGTGATCACTTTAATGTTGCAGCTGGTAAAGGTGGAGCTCTTTTTAAATGCTTTATAAACTGCCGGCTGGTTTAATCTATACGTATGCATCATCATTTATTAGTTGATTGTATTTTGTATTAATAATCTAAGTCTTCAAAGTCACTAAAGCATCCATATATCACTTAAAGTGTGTAACCATTAGATGGCTCAAACAAGAAGCTCCCACATACAATACATGGATCCAGGAAGTCTGGGACCTCGATCAGATGGAACAAATCACACACTCATTAAGACTACAAAAATCCACCTTTATTAAATGATGCAGTCCTGTCGTGGCTTTAATAATACAATGAGGTTTATCATCCAGCAGGGCTCTGCTAAACTCTAACTTTTATATTCCCCCCATGTGCACATCACATTACATGTTATAGTCTGTAGAACCAATTTTGCACCTGTACTTTATCTGTGTGATTATAATGTGTTTTCAATCCTTTTTTTATTTCTAATAAATGGGTTTGGTTATATGCACATTGGAGTGGATGTCTGTGCTGTTTTATTCTTATGTCCAAGTAATTTTTCAATATAATGTGTGCAAATATTATATACAGCTTGAAAAAAGGAAAGGTATACACCGTATTGCTGTTGATGAAAACTTAAAATTAAGTTCTAAGAAAAACGTAACTAAAGCAGACAAATGTAGTGGAGTTAAATGTACAGTGTTGTCTTTCAAAAACATGGGAAGAAGGCAACGAGCAACAAAAGAGGAAATGACCCTAAAAAAAATGAGCAAGAAATTAGTAAAAGAGAGAAAATTAAAAACAAAACACTTATTAAAAAAATGAATAAAAACAAATATAAGAACCAACAAATAAACAAACAAGGAAATGACCTGGAAAAGGAGCTTAGAAATTATAATTCTGTAACATAATTTTAAATATATAATAATGATAATTATAAAAAATAGTTTTACCCTGGCTGTTTAAAAATAATTTTCAAAATCTATTAATTTTTTCTACTTTGTGGAACATTTCTCACCAAGTTGCTTGTCGCCTTTTTCCCCACACTTTTGACAGAAACTGCACCAATTAGCTCGGGGGCCAAAGGTTTAAATACTTGAGAAAGGTGTTTCAAAGGGTTAATGCATGAGTCAGAATCATCTAATGAGTTCATATCATTGATGATGCTCGAAGTCGAGTATGATAGTCCTCCCTGGGTGTCCTTGTTGTGGGTCTTCAGATGGCTGAAGAGGCCAATTCTGGAGCCACAAACCTTCTTGCAGTGTGGGCAGGGATGTTGGGTGCTGGCGGTGGGATGTGTGGGGGCCCGCTTGGTGGAGAGCCTCTCCTTCCTTTGCTGCTGCAGCCTGTTGGAGATGATCTTCATGGAAAGTGGCACCTTAATGCAGGCAGTTTCTCCATGCAGGTCTTTGACTGGCTGTAACTTCCCAGTTTGAGCTGATGGTTTTTTTTTGAGACTGGTTCTGATGGTGTCCTTGTAGCGCTTTTTCTGGCCTCCAGGTGCACGGTGACCGGTGGAGAGTTCAGAGTAGAGGATTTGTTTTGGAAAGCGTCTATCAGGCATCTGTATTACGTGGCCTGTCCATCTGAGCTGGTGCTTTGTGATGGTGGTGGTGATGCTGTCTCCTGTAAGATGCTGGTGTTTGTCCTCTCATCTTCTCAGCTCACACGCAGGATTTTTCGTAGACATCTCTGATGGTAGGACTCAAGGGTTCTTAAATGCCTACTATAAGTGGTCCATGCCTCTGCACCATAGAGGAGTACTGGCAGTATGACTGCTTTGTACACAAGCAGCTTGGTCTTGGCGAGTAGGTCAGGATTTTCAAAGACCCTTTTGCGAAGCTTTGAAAAAGCGCCACTGGCACAGCAGATTCGGTGGTTTATTTCGCAGTCAATGTCCGCCTAAGACGAGAGGTGGCTTCCCAGATAAGGGAAGTGGTCAACATTCTCAAGGCGTCCATTGTCAATTGTTATTGTTGGCGGGGATAAAGCGGTGTCTGGTGGGGGTTGGTGGAGGACCTCGGTCTTCTTGATGTTCATGGTGAGAGCAAGAAGCCTGTAGGCCCTTGTGAAAGCATTGAGGGTGGCCTGAAGATCTTCCTCTGTATGGGCTACAACAGCACAGTCATCTGCATATTGTAACTCCATGATGGAAGTATGGAGGACCTTAGATTTGGCTTTGAATCTGTTTAGGTTGAATAGTTTACCATCTGTTCTGTAGATTATCTGGACACCACTGGGTGCACTGGTTCCAACAAAATGGAGGATGGCGGCTATGAAAACTGTGAACAGGGTGGGGGCAATGATACAGCCTTGCTTGACACCAGTTTCCACCTGAAAGGGTTTAGTCTCGCTGCCATGGCAGAGGACAGCAGCTGACATGTTGTCATGTAAGAGTCTCAGGACCCTGATGTACTTTTCTGGACATCCAAATTTGGATAAGATTGTCCAGAAGGCCTGACATACAGTCACAGGGGACAGTTTCATACTTTAATACTACATTTTACTGATTATATTGAGGGAACAGTTCCAACGCAGGACTTGTACTTATAGCAGAGTGTTTTTGCTGTGTGGTTTTAGTGCTGTTCCTCAAGTTAAGGGTCTGAATACGTCCTCCACCACTGATACATTAAAATATTCATGATTATAATAACTGCAAATGTTACTGTACAGTGCTATTGGTTCATTATACTGTTTTATTCACAAAGACACTTTATACTCCTTCAGTTCAACACGTAACAAAACAGCAAGGTTCAGGCATTGAGACATCTCAACAGAAAACAAACAAACAGATCATATTTGGCAAAATAAATCCAGCCATGCACTTCAGGAGGAAACTGAGAAAAGAAAAAGCTGTGGCGGCACAAACTTAACACAAAGTGAAGCACTTGCAGCCGTCAAAAAGCACCGTGTCCCAAAATAAAAGCAAAACGGTCCTCTTCTCAGCGGAGAGACGGAGGTGTCTGACGGCTTTAAGGATCAGTCTGGTGACACTTTTCTTACTGTCAACAAATCCCATGAAATCATCAAGTGTGGATTAATCCGCAGCTGAAAATAGTCCCCAACAGATGTACTACTTCCTCCTGTTTGTGTGATAAAAACTACAGTGAGCACCTGTTTTGGGAAATTACTGATGGAGCTATATATCTGTGTTTTTAAAGATTTAGGTCTTCAGGCGGAACCAATGGGCTCAGAGCTGAGAGCCACAGACAGAAAGTCAGACAATATTGAGAAACGGACTAACGGGGCCCCCAGGAAGTGCGCCTGGCTTGGACAGACAGATGTTTAACTGCAGACACATTCCCATTGTAGCGTACACGCCCACCATTAGTACAAGACAAACCCACCATTCGACACTGTGGAAACAAACATGAGGCCGAACGTGGCAATACTCCACTTCATAATTGATAATACACGAAAACGGGGTTTACTTTATAAGTAACAAGATGTAGCCTTCCCATTACCCTCAACCTACCTCTCTTTTAACCAACTACTTCACAGCTAGCTAATCGCTAACTTAGCATTTTCGTCAGGGCTCTGCCTCCAGGTCAACAGGCGAAGGGGGCTGATCGTGGACTGATATGTAGGTTAAGATGGGCGAGTCATGCAGGTGCTCCAGCTGCAATATACCTACTTGCTTTGAAGCCAATTTTCATAGTGGCCAAACAGCGGTACTGCACTTTCCATACTTTTCCCCATAGACTTACATTGTAAAAGAGACGTCTGTAAATCAGTGGATGCATTTCTTAGAGCATCACAACGCCCATGAAACGACTTGTTCCACTGTTGATTTAATCAGTCTGATAACATTCCCAAAGTATAACAGGGCCACAAGATCAAACTATTTTATCTCCAGTCAAGTTAGCAGAGCACTAAACAGGAAGTCAGCCGGTTGGCCAGCAGGAGTTGGCGGTTGTTGGCATCTGTAAGTCTCTAGCGCACCTGCTCTATGGGCCCATGATGCCGTAGCAGCACCAATCACCCAGGTAATGTGATACCATGGAAACAGAGCTTTGTTGGCTTCATGTGCCACTGAGCAACTTCCATAGCAATGAACAGGGACCCTCCTCCAACGTTGTATCCAGGTCTCTTTACACATCCACAGGACTAACACATGTTGGTTTTTGTTTTTCAATGGGATTTGCTGACATTTAGAGTAACACCAGCCTTATCCTTTAGAGGAAGAATCCACCATCATCCACTCACACTGTCACGTCTCATTTTGTCTTCAAGGTTTGTTTCATTGCTACAGAAATGCACTTTTTTTACAACCTGCCTCGACATTTGTGTTTCCTCTTCTTGACAGAGTTCTAACATGGCAGCTCTCACTTTGTCTGAAATTGGCCAGTTATAAACAGGAAGAAGAAGAAACATTCCTTTAGGGACTGTTCATTATTTATAAGGGGGGAGAGGTGGAGCAAAAAAGAGGGCGGGATGTCAAATAATATTTTAAGCAGTGGGAGGGACCTATGGTTTTATTTTTGGCTTAGGGGAGGAGCACACAAGTTTAAATGGTTGTATTTTGTATTTATTTTATGGCAGATTTGTAAAGAAAACATGCAGGTGGGATGGGACGTAGATACAGGAACATAGATGCCTCATTATTTGCTGAATCATATGTCAACAGCACCGCCATATTGGCGAGGTCAGACTTGCCTGTAAACAAATGCAAGCAAACAGGAGCTGCGGTTCTTCCTGATTAAAAACACCCTATAATGTTTATTTTTCTTAACCAACTGCAATAAGTGGTTTTTATGTTATATTTATATGTATACAGTTCATGTAATCCTAACATGATCCCAACCTTTCCTGGTTGGGAAAAAAAAACATCATAATTTTTTTTTATTTGATTTTTTTTAATCAAGAAAAACCACAGCTGCCATGGTCACTTGTATTGGTATAATACAGGCGTACTTGACATCGTCAATATGGCGTCGCCACTGACTTATCACTGCAATGGTCTGACGCAGTCAATGCAGCATCTACGTATAAATGACTGTGAGTTAGGAAGGCATGTTTTCTATACAAATTGCCAAGATTACACCATTGATGACAGCCAGAAACGGTAAAAACAAAAATTATTGTTGGATTTATAACATTTCTGACTGTCCTTGAACACATCACGTGCAACAAATGCTTCTGTCTTAAATAAAACGTCACCAAATCTGATCTTAAAATAGTGATATTGCTTCAGAATCACTTTATTCCACATCTCATTTAAAATTCAGCCACAAATAAACCATTTGCACAAACTAACCAGCATGACAAGGGTGAAAACAAAGGCTATTTTAAATCTAATAACTCATTTATAGTGGACGGAGGGTCATGGATTTCCACCGGTCACTCAGGGAGGTGCAAGGAAAAATATGTGTAGCTTTGGGGAGGGTCCAAATAAATAAAGTCACACCCCAGCCACCTGCCTCCTCTGATAAATAGAGAACAGTCCCTTATTGTGACCTGTTTGTTTAAAAGTGTTTTGGGTGGATTTTTCACGTTAAATAACACAATACATAACCCATAAGAAAAGTCAGAACTATCACAGCGATGAACACGCTCTCACATATCGTCTCTCCTCTCTCACAGACACATCCACACAGCTATTAATAAATAAGATAAAATACTTCTTCCACCCACAGGTGTCTTCCGTCCTGCTAACACCACGCTAGCTGCTGCGCTCAGTCCCGAGGGGGGTATTGCTCACACACATCTGAAGGCTTCAGGCTTGACTCAACCTTAAAGGAACAGTTGGAACATTCTGGGGGGATGTTGTTTTTTGTGAATTTCTGTGCTTCCACCACAGAGAGAGGTCCTGTATTTAGCCTAGCTTAGCACAAAGACTGGGAGCAGGGGGAAACTGTTAGCCTAGCCCCATTAAAAGTGGGCAAATACACTTTCCAAAGGATTTCTGGGAAAATTCACAAAGCACATATTGTGGCCGCTGATAGCACACATGCCAATGATGTTACAGCACAAACACACTACTAAAGTTTACAGCAGAGTGTAATCAACTGTGACAAACATTATTTGTGATTTAATATCTCAGTCTGTCAGTGCGCTTCAGTTCCCACCATCTCTCTGAAGACACCAATAATTTCACTGTAACTGTGTGTAACTGTGAGGACTGATCTTTAAGACTTGGACTGTTTTTGCAGTGAGGCTCATTTGCATAGGAGAGGACCAGTTTTGATCAAATGTATGCATATTACCCAATTTAAATATATGCAAATAGCACAGGAGCACTGAGATGGTGTTTGCTTGGCAGTGCAGTTTCGGGTGCATTTCACCCTTTGCAGGTGCTCTGAGAATTACATGGTTTCTCCTGCGGCAGCAAAAGCTGCACAATCCTTGTGTAATTCTGCCCATCAGTCTGATTTAAATGCTGTATCATGTTTATTGAGCAGGTGCAGAAATAGGTGACACTGGAGCTGCTGTTTTTGCTGGCTGACAACCGCTGGCGGCAGTGACTGAACGCAGCATCTCTAAAGTCCATCGTGGTTGTTGCCAGGTTTGAGGTCTGGCTTTGCATTTGATGGAAAGAGTATTTGTCTCTTTTGATCGAGCCAGACTGGCAGGTTCCCCTAACCCCGACTGTAACCGCAGCACTCTGATCTGAGCTTAAAATATTGATATTTCACCAAAATCACTTTGTTCTACGTGTCTCGTTTAAAGTTTGGCAAAAGATAAATCATGTGCGCAAACTAACCAGCGACAAGAGTGAAAAACCAACACTTTAGTCAACTCCAGGATTTTGTCGATGCCTTTAACATCAAAAGGTAAGTTTTAAAAATCTAATAGGAGGAGGGAGGGTCATGGATTCTCTGTCAGTCAGGGAGGCTCGAGGAAAAAAATTTATAGCTTCACAAAAGGGTTTAAAAACCCCAAAAGAAAACAAAGTCACAACCCAGCCACCCCCCTCCTTTGATAAATAAAGAACAGTCCCTAACTGGTTTACAATTGTTTGGCCTGTGATTCCTTAAATTTTCCTGTAAATGGCCCACAGTCAAAAAAGTTTGGCCACCCCTGCTCTGAAGGAGTTTTATAACATGTCTGTTCTCCTGAAAAGTACTTTGCGTGTGAACAAAAGACCAACCTGTGTTTGTGTTAACTAAGCCTAAGTTCCTCGCTGCCTCCTGTCTTTGAGCTAGACTTTGCTAAACACATCCTGGATCTCTGTACTGGAGTCACTCACATGGTGTGTATGTAAATCTTCTCATCTGAATCCTACAAGCTGATTTCAGTAAGTGTCCGATTGTCCCTTAAACTCTGCACGCTCCTGTTTTAAAGCTTCACTCCGCGACTTTCTATGTGGAACTTTTCTTGGTGTTTGATCATTGAAAGAAGTCCACCTACACACTGAGTGATGGACTGAAACATAAACCCCTTTTCCACTAACATTAGCGTGTCTGCGCGGGTTATTTAAACACGGGAAAATGAGCTAAAAATAGGCGATAGACTTCTTTCCTATTGCCAGATGACCACCACTGTGTACACGGCTCTGCAGCAGAGCAGTATGCCTGTCTGTGTGTGTAGGGTTTATTGTGTGTGTTCCATGTTCAACGTCACTGTCAGGCTGGAAACAGGTTAACAAAGAGTTGGAAGCAGCATGGAAGCCAGTGAAAACTTGATGGTGGTTACTTTTTTGCATATATATATATCCCTTATGTATACAGTCTGTCTTTCAAACTTGATGCAGACAAATTTGGATTGATGTTTGAACGCTGCTTGGCCAGAGATGGGCGGCATTGTGTGGTGACCTGTCATTGCACCTCACTGGTTAAGAGGCTATAAAATTAGCGTGTTCACCTGGGTGTTGTGTTCCCATCACTGCCGATAAATACCTGCGACTACTACTGAGTAATTTGACCCAGCTGTGAAACCTTTCCCATTACATTAAAAAGATGTTAGCGGGTGTTAGTGGATTTTTTTGTGCAGTGGAAAAGGGGCTTTAGATACAGATACAGTTGGTGAGCGCTCCCCTCAGAGGTTAACTGCTCTTCCAAGCTTCAGATCTTTCCCCTGTTCTGTCCCTTTAGTTCCCTTTGATATAAAAGATCTTAAACCAGCTGAGCTGTGTGCAGTTAACTTACATCACTGTACAGGATTTCTGAATACTAGCTAATGCTTTTCAAACTTTTCCCCTCTGCTGGCGTGTGAAGCTGCCAAGAAGCACCACTGCAGAGTGCAGCTTTAAAACAAAAACCCCCTTTAAGGACCAGCACAGCTAACAGCTACTTTCTTTCCTCTCTGTGATAAAACAAATACCAGACCCTCGCTGACGTGACGCACGCCTTTAAAATAAGGCTGTCCTTTTATTGTGATGCTGATGTTCAAAGTCCCGGTACGACTGTATCCTCTGCTTGGTATTTGGTGTGTGGGCGGTGGGAGGACGAGTGGACTCAGTTGAAGGCCTCCTTGTTGATCCACATGAGGGTCCGCGTCTCGTTGGGCTTGCACTCGTACTCGATGCTGCTGAATTTGTTGCCGAACTGGCAGTGCTCCCTCTTGTAGTAATTGTAGTATTTCGCCTGCCAGACCGTCTCAAACGTCCCCGCTTTGTTGAACTGGACAGGAGGAGAGATCATCGTCACCAACACTGCTGCAAAAATCACCCATCTGATATGTGATAAAAGGTCCCAGTGACACTGTTGTCTCACCTCCATGCTGACTTGGACAGGTTGCCGGTCTCCGCTCTTGGTGTGCGGGACGCCCTCTGTGTCATACTGGCCGTGGTAAACCACCGACTCCTCGTCCCTGGACTGCTGCTCCAGAGGGAAGATGATGCCTCCGATGTTCATGTTGCTGTGAGGAGGAGAAAGAGGAGCAAGTAGTTTGATACTGCACTGAGAGCTTTAAAGTGACACCTGCATGCACCTGCAGGTCAGGTGGATCTGAGAGCTGATATTCTCAAAGGCCTCTCTGTGAATGACTGTGTCTTGGACTGTACGTTTGGTCGAAAGGTCTGCCAAATAAATAAATGTCATCTTAATATAATGACCTTCTTTCTGGTAACCATGAGTCTCTTTCACACGTAATTCCCAGTAAATTACTGGGATAACCTTTCAGGCACTGCACGCACTATATTCATGAAAATTCCCATCTGGCACCTTTTCTAAATGCCTTGAGAATAGATGAGGCAGGGACAGTCCAGCAGATGGCGGTAATGCAACATTTTTACATGTCAACAGTGATAAAACTCAGCAGAAGAAGAAAAGGATGGGGCAAGGCCAGATGTAAGACGTCTCATAATTTTCAGTAACATGGCAAATAAAGAGCTGTTAATGTCCAGTGGCAATGTTCTTATAATATGTTTAATATCTAACAAGTTTGTGAGAAAACAGTGGCGTAAATGCTAATTGCAAATGTATGATAACACCAACTGGATCCCAAGATGGCGTCTATTTATTCAAATGGAGTTGCTATGTCAAAAAAGTTTCTAGCTTTCTAGCGTCCACTGAATATGTGCAGTAGTGTTTCTTACACTGGCGCCACCTGCAAGTTCCCACCTGGCTCACAGACTTTACATCGTGATGACGTCACAGATGTGTTTTTTAATGGCTTTTCTTGGTTTAAAGAAAGTTTTACAAATATAAAACCGCCATGGATCAAAAACTCATAATAGAAAGAGGCATAACTGAGCTTGTTTGCAGTTGGAGGTGTCCTGTCAACAGTTTAACAGACGTCTCTTTTATAATGGTGCTCTACAGGGAAAATGCTTTTTGGGTTCCAGGGGATTTTTTGTTGCAATACCACGAGTGGCCACTGGGAACAATTGGCAGCAAGGCTGAGCAGTGTTCCTGGAGGCCTGATGCTAAGCCGTAAATATCTCACAGATTCAAATACGCCATCATCGTAGTCTTGTGATTGGTTTGCTCGCTCTACATGAAAGCGTCTTTCGTACATGCTGCAATAGTGCTGCAGGGGTGACGTTTTCTTGTAGGCCGATACGGAGGTTAGCGTCGCCCTGGTTCCCTTGGATTATAGATTATTGCAGAAAATACGCTCTGCGGCAAACAAACATTTATGATTCACATGTTTTGCTCAGCAAGATAATCTTCACTACTGAACACCACTTTTATGATGTTTTTAAAAAAATTTTTTTGATGAAATATCACCATTTTAAGCTCAAATTTCGTTGTTTTTTTTCTAACAGAAGCCTTCGTCACTCATGATGTGTCCAAGGACCGTCGGAAATCTTAAAAGCCAATGCTAATTTGTGTTTTTACACTTCCTGGCTCTGATAAATGGTGTAATTTTGGTGATTTTTAAAGAAAACACGACGGGTTTGGAAGGTTTTCTTCAAAGATCAGTAGTAAAATAAATATAAAATTCATCCATTCAGCCAAAATATTTATTTATTTATTTATTTAAAAGGGACAGTGCACATTAATGTACAACAGTAAAAACAGTGTAAATGTGCCAAAGTTAGCGCAATACACATACGTCCCTCCCCAAATATTATTTCACATGCCTCCCCTTTGTTGCACTACCCCTCCCCCTCTCCTCACAAGTAACGAACAGTCCCTTGACACCTTCCTCTGCACAGATGGATCCCTCCCTGCGTGTCACTGAGGCTGTGTGTGATCAGGTGGACCCCGCCCTGCTCACTTCACTTCACCTTATCCAACAGCAGCAGAGCCGACACGAGCTGTTGGTCCATCAGCAGAGACACGACGCCTCCTGACGTCACCAGCGATGAAAAAAACATCACACATGATGATTTATTCAGGCGGATATCAGATGCTGCTGCAGGCCTGCAGGAGGAGGCCACGGAGCCACCGTCATGCGCCACTGTCACTGCTTTAATTTAGTTTCATATTCTAAAACAAACGCTAATTATGGCGGTGCATCTCATGCTTACAGATGTGTGACCTTTGTTTTATTATAGGGAACGAATGAAATAAGAGAACACGCATGCTCTGTGTGCTCCTGCTGCAGATACACCCAGTATCTGACCATATCATAAAGACAGCAGCAACAATATTGATTAAATCTATTTCTTCTTACGTGGCCTCGACGTTTCCAGGCTTCAGCACCACCTCGATCTTGTATTTGGAGCCTGTGAGCAGTTTGATGGTCCTGCTCTGTCCGAACCGGGTCCCGTCCACCTTGAAGAACACGGGCCCCTCATTGGGCTGGATCCGCAGGGAGATGGAGATGTTGATGATCGGAGGGACGTCGTCCATTATCCCGGATCCTTCGGTGTCCTGCGGGGTCAGTTTTCGGTCCCGTGTTGAGGGAGAGGATGGCGGATGATGCGGTGATGCTGAGGAGGGACCACGGTCAAGCTGGGGAGCACACGGCTTCCGGTTACGTCTTTCAAAATAAAAGTGTGAGGGCCGGAGTCTGGGCTGCAACTAACCGATCATGGTCTAGATTAATCGACTGTGGTTGAAAAAGGCAATATCAATATGCCGAAAGACGATTTCAGATTGTTTCTACTGTCAAACCAGTGGTGCATAAATCTAATTAAGCTTACTATTAAGGGACTGTTGGTTACTTATGAGGGGGAGGAGTGGGGCAAAGAGTGGGAGGCATATCAAATAATTTCTCAAGCACTGGGGAGCGACTTATATTTTTTTATTTCAGCTTAAGAGAGGGGCGAACACATTGAAATGGTTATATTTTCTATTTATTTTACTGCAGATTTTTATATTTTACATTCAGAAACAGAAAGTATTGTTGGATTTTCAAATTTGCGATGGTTCTTGGACACATTTGTGACGAATGCTTCCCATAACCAAATCTGAGCCAGTCTGCGACACCAGGAATCAGCACATCCTGACTTCCACCCCTGCGGGCAGTGGCCCCACAGTGAGAGAGGTCAAGTAATTCATGGTCTTGTTCAAGAGTGAGGGTAGAATGGAGCGTGAGATGGATCGGCAGTTTGGTGCAGCGTGTGCAGTGATGCAGGTGCTGTGTCAGACCATTGTGGTGAAGAGGGAGCTGAGCCAGAAGGCGAAACTTTTGATTTACTGGTCCATCTGTGTCCCAACCCTCACCTATGGTCATGAGCTCTGGGTAGTGACTGTAAGAATGAGGTCGTGGATACAAGCAGCTGAAATGAGTTTCCTCTGTGGGGTGTCTGGGCTCAGCCTTAGAGATAGGGGGAGGAGCTCAGACATCCGGAGGGAGCTCAGAGTAGAGCCGCTGCTCCTTTGTGTCAAAAGGAGTCAGTTGAGGTGGTTCAACATCTGATCAGGATCCTCCAGGGCGCCTCCAGTTTGAGGTGTTCTGGGCACGTCCCACTGGTAGGAGGCCCCGGGGCAGACCCAGAACACACTGGAGGAATTACATACCTCATCTGGCCTGGGAACACCTTGGGGTCCTCCAGGAGGAGTTGTAAAGTGTTGCTGGGGAGAGGGACGTCTGGGGTGCTTTGCTTCACCTGCTGCCCCGCGACCCGGCCCTGGATAAACGGATGAAAATGGATGAATGGATGGATGGATGGAGCGATGATAAAGAAAAAGAAATTTCACAATTTAAGTAATCCGCATGCACAAGAGTGAAAAAACGCGGCTTTTTCAACTCCAGAATTTTGTCTTCAACCTTTAACATCACAGGGTGAGATTTAAAAATCTAATAACTAATTTATGGTGGCGGGAGGGTCATGTGTTTCCCGCCAGTCGCTCGAGGAAGCTCAAGGAAAAATATTTGTCACTTCGGGAGGATCAAAAACAAAAACAAAAAAAAAGTAATCACACCCACCTCCTCCTCTGATATGTAGAGAACAGCCCCTTACTATTTTTTTTTCTTTTATTGTTTTTTATGACAAACAAAAGCCACAAATTTTCATATTTGAGATCATCAAATATGAAAATTTCTTTCTTTCTTTTCTGTTTGGCATTTTGCTTTAAAAAATGATATAATGTTGACAGATAATGACTGACAGCCCAAATAGGTGTCAGCTGTATCATTTTTGCTTCATTGTTTACAGAGTATAGCTGCAATGATTGGCTGATTAATTTAAGTTGAATTTAAATATTTAATCAGAAACTATTTTATGGTTCCAAATTATCAAATTATAGTGAAATGAATAATTTAGTATTAGCCTGAAACTTGCGCTGGGCTTTTTTCAGTTTTCTGATATTTCATAGACCAAATTATCAATGAGTTACTTCAACATACGAGCCAGCATAAGAGATGATTAAAAATATATATTTGCAGCAGCCCTCCTGATGAATAATTAAGAACATTTACTCAAGATATGACAGTGTAAATGTACAAAAATATAGGCCTATGTAAGTAAGTGCTTCACAGGGATACCATTATATTCAAGTATCATATTGTCTTTTGTTTCCTGCACTTTTCTAAAGCAAATATTAAACTTTTCACTTTCAACATTTGACAGCTGAATACGTTTCTTTTGCACATTAAAATCTATGTTCAAATCATGATAAATGTACAATTTCTTTTAAGTTCTCTTTTGTCCTTCTTCCTTTAATAACTAACATGAAAAACCCAAATATTGTGAAATATTTTGTTACACCAACTCTTCCTGTTCCTGAAGTACTGTGGAGTTCATGCTGCAGACTTAGTTTTGACCAACAGTTAATTTTTTAAGAGATTTTTGCAGCTGAAACATGACACTGAGACTTCAGCTGATTAGTAATCATGAGTTTCTGAATTAGATATGTGCATTTTTACAGATACAGAAAAACTCAAATATGTTATTAGGAAATATTAAGCAGGTTTTGTTTTAACATTATTGTTGTGTTGAGCTCTGTGGCTTTGCAGTTGGATGTCCTACCAGTGTACAGACACTTGTAGGTTGTGAAACTGTATGTAGCCAGGGTGGACACAATAAGAGAAACACCTTATGATGCAATGCAATACAAAACTCCAGTGTATCAACAAAGGTGTCGACAAAAACTGCTTCACAACAACGTCATTTATTACATTTTTACAGTAAAAGCAATGAAACAGTTTAATTGTAACAACTAATGTCAATGTTTCATTTCTGCATGATTTTTCTTTAAAAAAAAAAGCAATTTAAAAAATTATGTACAATTGTTTTTTTATATATATATATTCACATGAAACACAAAAGTATAAAATATATATTAGAGTTAAAAATCAGGCACGCAGTAGTGCCAGAGGTGCTTTGAATAAAAATCCTACATGTGGTATTGATCATCTGTCGAGCTCAGCCTGCAGGATCTCTCCCCAGGTCTCCGCGTCCAGCGGCGTCATCCTCCTGCCGCTCAGCTCCTCCGCTGATCTCACGTGGCTGTAGCGACCTCTCAGCCAGTCTCTCTTCAGACAGCTGCGAGTGTAGTTCTTCACCAGAGTGACCTGCGGAGAGGAGACAGGATGCTGTCAGAGGACGAGGGTCAGAGAAGCTTCAACCTCCTCTCAGTCAAGACTCAACCCAGTCACCTGAAAAAATGTTGGCAGTGTATGTTTGAGCAGTTCACGGCTACGATACATTTGTACGTTATTACATAGAAAGCTTTACATTTCAACAACACTTAACATGTGGTTATATTTGAGCACAAAATCAACTTGGATATGGTTAGGAAAAGATCATGTTTTGGCTCACAGTACCCAGTTTTGGGGTACCCAGCAATGTCTCTGTAAAAAACAATGGCTTTTCATCTCATCATTCCCGCTGACAGGTCGCTACAAAACACCCACGTTTAAAGGTGAAACAGTGAGACACAGCAAGGACACGCTAAACAACAATCAGTTTTATTGTTTGTTGGTCTCAAACAGTGGTCTGCAGCTTCTCACCTCATGCATCACCTCAGAAATGTTGACACGAAACGTGCAAATGTAACGTAGTTGTGGTTTGCAGAAACGTACAAAGCCAACATTTTCTTCTGGAGACTGGGAGACAAGGTGATATTTTATGGGGATATTTTTTTCTTTATAGGATACAAATTCAAAATAATAGGAGTTTGTCCATCAGTTAAAGCCTACAGCCTCCTCCTCTGATGTTTTCTACTTGACCTCTGAAATATTCTCAAGGTCTCTGTTGGGTGATAAATGTGGCGATATCTCTGGTTGTGGCCCGTGAGAAGGGTTTGAAGATGGCCGTTGACACGGTCAAAGACTCAACCCAACTTAACTTTATTTATGAAGCACATTTAAAAACAACTCATTTTGACCACAGTGCTGTACTAAAAGGATAAAATGCTAAAAACTCATGAGAAGCAACATAACACACACTTAGAGACACAACACACACAGGCAGCATCAGGGGAAACCACATCAGGGGGACTCCAACAATAAAGAATAAAAGTAGGTTCTGAGCCTGGACTTAAACAAGTCAATGGTGGGGGCAGATCTGCAGAGCTTTCAGCTGAAGCCTCAGTGTCTCTGTGCAGTTTACTGTCCGACACCTGACAGTGTAATGCTGAAATCAACTGTACTCACAACGGTGAAAAAAAAAGACTTCCAACACAGAAAAGTGCAATGAAACATCATTCAAGCTGAAATTCAAAATCAGAAACTTGGGCAAGATCCATCTTATCTGGGTTCACCAACACAAGCTCATCTGACTTCACAGCAAACATGGCGGCGTCCACAGTAAACCGAGCAGGGTGACCTTTACATCAGATCTTACTTTATGCAGTGTTTTATGTAGAGTTTGTGTGTGAAACATGTGAAATATGCTTTTCTACAGCTTTATGCTCCTGGCTGTGGTGGGTCACACTTTGATACTCATCACTCGTTATACATTTCACAATTTTGAGCTGCTATTAGAACGAGCAAAGACGAGACAGGTTACTTATTTTACACACTGTTTCTTTTCACTAATGGTGCTGTGGTCTTCAGTAGATGGTTGTGAAGCTCAGAAACGTAGCCATAAAAAACACCAGTTTGCTGCGGGTGTCCATGTTTTCCTGAGGAGATGCACTGGGATGCATTTAGATCGGACACTGGGAACACAAACTCAAAATTATCAACTCCCAACTTCCATGGACTGCAGCATAACGTGGAACAAAACATATTTTGTCCCTCTGTGATGTCACATCTCTTGCCTGGGTCCAGACCTTTGAATCCGACCACTCCAGTGAGTTTGAGTTCACTGATTCATCTGGCGTGAAACGGCCTGTATCGTTTAAGATAAAAAACGACCAATGAGCACTGCGAGAGGGCTCCATCAGCCAATCAGTGTCACAGGGGGAACTAACATTGTTGTCATGTTGTCAAGCTCTTGTCAAGTGGTGTACCAGAGTAAACGAGGAGTAACAACAAAATGGCGAGCTCCTCAAAGGAGACAGTCGCTGCTATCTGGGCTGTTCTACATCAATACATACTCGGCCTGTCCTCTAAATATCACTCTACATCATAGTTTGTATTTACTTCACTCCACTCCACTCTTAAGACCCCAGCAAAACAGGTATGTTGGCATGACTACGCATCAGTGAGGAATTAAAATGACGACAGATTCAGGTGGATACGTTGGTTTCTAGTGACTGATTATGGAAAATTGAATTCCCATCCCCAGTGGAAATCAATTAGAGTGGACGCAATGTCAGACTGAAGGCAGAAACAGAGTGTAATGAGTAAACAGTTCTGTCTGATATCAGGCAAGTCACATGTTCACAACTGCCTCCAGTTTAAATCTTTGTTTTAGCGAGACGTTTTTAGCATCAAACTTTATTTCCATGGCAGTACGCAGTCGCTCTGATGACAGGTCGTTGGCAGCTGTGTTCATATTTTCCAATTGTTCTTCTGACTCTGCTAAATTTGTCTGCTGATTTCTGACAGCGGGACTGTGAAGTTCCTCTCATCACTCTTGGTGACATTTTTGTGAATGAAACCTTCCCACAAACAGAACACAACAGGCAGTGTTGTTGAGCTAATTTGGGGCATTGATTACGCAGTTGGTTTATTAACAACAAAACAACAATTAGTTTATTTACAGGATAGACTGATGTATAAAGAGATTTCAGCCTGTTGGGTTTAAATGGAGGGACTCTGAATCGCCTGTTGGAGCGCAGAAGTTGGTATTTATTATTTAGTTATTATCATTTTGGACATATTCATTAGTCACCTCATGAGTTCATTTTAAATGTAATGTTAAAGTGAAAGCTGGCACTAAGAGCCAAAATGAAAACACCTGGTTTGAGTTCATTTTGACTTTTAGTGTCTGAATTTGTGCACAAATTAATTTTCCTGCCGACCCACCTTCCAGGACAGGCCGTCCCTCCTGTCGCTGTCGACCTCCCTCTGACAGACGGCTCTGACCAGCAGACACTGCCTCCTCCACACCTGGTCGCTTTCCTCGATGATGTGGTGCCACAGCTTGCAGGTCCGTGAGGCGCTGCACAGACTCTCGGCGTCCAGCTCGCCAAAAATCTTCACGCTCATTTCTGTTGGCAACGTCTCGGCAAAGTTTTGAGAGGTGGTGGTGTCGCATGTGGATATCAGGGAGGGTCCTCTTTTGGAGAGGAGGAACACAGGCGAGGTCTTCGTGGAGTCATGCTGCATAATAGCTCAGAGTCCAACAGGGTGAAACAGCCTGGGGAAAAAACAGATGGATCCAGTATTTCAGAATCTGACGTCACTGATTAAATTATGATTTACACTACGTTATATTTACATTAGCTTTGGATCTTATGGGCAATGTGAAGACATAAGGAGGGAAGCACCTGTTAAACTGTTTGTGTTGGAGGAGATAGAGGAAGACTTGTATTTTGCTGAGCAGCCATCTTCACCAATATAATGATATTTTGATTTAAATTTTCTGCAGTGCTTATGTTAGATTTTATTCTACATGTTTGTCTACCACAGAGGCCCCTCGCCTCAATTGCAAAAATTTACTTACATGTATTTTCTGCTCGGTTACACACACACAACTGTCAAAAACCTGCTCACTGCCCAGTAATATACACAGACATTAACCCTCAGGATATTTAGGTTTGACTGACAGGCACATGTGGCTGTTGTCCATCACCAACTGACTCTACAAAGTGGGAAGGAGTGCAAATAATGAAGTGCAGTTGCAAATAACCAATAACAGTTATCAATGTGTTATAAAAAAAAATGGTGCCAATGCCAGACATGTCAACAGGATAACAGTAGTTTCATGAATATAGAAGTAATGTGCAGTTCATTAACGATAAGGATCACCAAAGGACTGGACAAATGAAAAGGTTATTAACAGGTTATTATGTATGAAGTTACTTTACGTCCCAAACATAGATTTGCAGGCTAAAGGATGACAAGCACAGAAAAACATGTTCATTACAAAACACCGAATAACAGCACACAGTTTATGTTAATATTCTCCATTTCCCTGTTGGGCTTGTGAGTGAACAAAAGCTTCAATTTTCTTGAATCAAATCTTATTGTGAGAAAATCAGATGCAGCTCAGAGTCACGTTCAGCCGCACCAGTCTCGTGTCCGCCCCGGCTAGCAGGAACACGGTTAGCTAGCTTAACGTTAGCGACCGAGACCCCTCCAGACTGTCGCAGTTTACAGGATAAATACTTTTATTTTTTACCGTAGACCGTTGCTATGTGATGGCTGCTGACATATTCAAGTACAAGACGAGTCATTTAATCGACGTGTGTCGGTTAAATGAGATTTTCTTACCGGCTGTGTGGTCGCTCCGTGCTGCTCTGACAGCTGACTGTTTAAATGTCTCAACGGTTGTTTACACACACAGACACGTCACTGTGTTTTCCATCGAGTGCGCATGCGTCAAAAAGGCCACGCCCGTGAATCGCAAACGCCTGACTACATATTCGCCGAATCCCATCCTAAAAGTTTAGAATTTAAAATACTCTTGGTTATTTGCGAATAATGTAGGCATATGAAATTAATCTCAAAGCGGATTATGGATAAGTGAATATCATTCTTTAATTCGGCATACATATTATATACATGGCGTGACTTTAATTGATCAAAATTCCAACTTAAATTGGTTCACATATCTCGCCACATGCATCTTTTTTTTGAGACCATGCCAAATGAAGGCTAGTCAAATAAACTTTATTTAATCTAACTTGTTAAACTCAATGTACTTCCTTTGGCCAAATAAAATAGCAAATGTGTGCAAAAACTCTGCTTAATTTAAAGTTCAAACTCAAATTTTAGGAAATAGTCAAATCGTGCAAATAAGCTTCCTGCAATATTTGCATTTCTGTTTTCTAGTTTCCTTTCTTACCTAATATCTAGCTATAAAAATACATAATACGTCGAGCACAAAGGGACCGAAACAAGAACTGTGAACCAAATAAAAAAAGTTTACATTTTAATAAACTAAGATCATGCACTGTGTGTTGCATGTATGCCAAATACAGTATTGATGTCTATTTTATTCAAATTAACCACTCTTTATTTAGAAGCACCACACGTCAACTGCATGGAGTTGACAGGGCGGTGTGAACGAAGTCAAAAAGTTTAAATTTTGATAACTAAAGTCACGCAATGTATGTTATAAGTATGCCGAATTATAGAGTGACACCTACTAAATTATAGATTATTTTTTGATGTATTTTTTAATCACAAATAATTTGTAAATAAGACATTTTAAATGGAAGAAATTCAGGATGCAATAAGGGGGACGTGTTCAGGCATGCTTTCAATAACATCGCCACACCTCTACTGCGCATGCTCCCTCCACATCCCGGAAGTTTTGAATCCCGTAGCTGAGAGTTGTGAGTGGTGTCTGTTCTCTATGGTTGGATTTAAGAGTTGGGAGACAAAAACTATCCAGTTTACCTCCACAGCAGGTAGGCAGCAGTACAGGTGTACCACTGCAGCGCATTACGTGGCTCAGACGGAGCATCTGAATGAAACATTAAGTCAGAGAAGCTCTTTGATTCCTGATTTAATTCTCCTAGTAACTTTCAGAATCCTCTGAACTAAGTGGTAAAGGCTTGTTTTAATTTGTGTTTACTTCCTCCAGTGAACCGGGGTGAAGCTCTCTCCTCTCCCGCCCGTTGAGCAGATGTCCGGTTTCGACCTCGTCCCGGTGGACGGCGGGGATCCCGTCCACCTGCCGCCCGGGGAGACGGTGTTGGGCAGGGGGCCGTTACTGGGAGTGAGTCCTCCTGTGGCGTTGTTTCAGTTTACTTTACTCTTATACCAGCATTACTAATAACAGTGCACATTAACAAGCATTGCTGTGGTGGGATGTAACTATTTACTCAAGTACTAAGTGCAACTATGGGGTACTTGAGTATTTTATTTATATGGTATTTGATGCAGAACAACCCCTGCTCCACCCAGCTTGGTCCTGGCAAGGTGCTGGAACCATCAATAAGTCCAGACTGGTAGAAAGGATTTCTCCACACTTACATTTATTTTTATGGCATTTAAAACTTTACCCCACTGAACCTCAGATGCAGGGGTGTTTGTAGGATTTGAGGACACTGGGGGCTTAGCCCGGACCTCTGAAGGGGGGTCCTTGGGGCTCCTCCCTGTGAATTTTTTTTTATTGAACACGCTTTATGTTGATGCTTTTTTCTTTTATGTGGCACCTTAGGGGTCGTTCACATGTCGTGTTTTAAACTGCCTGGAAAACTGGAGGTCGGGCTTTGGGTGCTACTCTTGTGCCAGCTTCCAGGGGCACGGAGGCAGGTTGTGTCTGAGGTTGGTAAGCGACCATCACTAGCACCGTATCACAGCTTATTTACCAGAAATCCTGAGTGCAGAGCTGATCTTCTTCCAGGTGTTGTTTTGTATGTGTGTATTAGGCCAAACATATTGTCTGTGGGACAGATGTAAAGCTCTGACAGCTCTGCACTAACATGATCAACTTCCCTTCCATATTTATCACACACTGATATTTACATTAGAAGGGAAAGATATCCGTCGGCTGTGATTGGTTGTTCCTTGTCACATGACATGCAGTGAGCACTGCTGCGTTCCAAAAGTTGAACTCAAGGCGCAGCCGTAGCGCCCTGAATAAAAGGCGCTCTGCGTCTTTGTTGTCTTATCATTTTTAACTTTACTTATTTTTTAAAACTTTTTTTTTTTTAAATTATGATTTTTGATGTTAAAAATATTAGTAATTGTTAGTAATAAGTATTGAATAGAGACAGAATACTTTACAACTGGGAAAGTAGTTGGAAAAATAGTTAAATATATGTATTCATGTTAAAGCAGCTCTTACCTTTCTTACATTTCACATTTCACAGCACTTAGAAAAAATTTGAACATCCACAACTCCACCTCCCTCCATTATGTCCTCATTACGTCTATGATAGACGGAGGCGTTGGCAAGGTAACGTCAGATACACGGAAGAGGAGAGCAAATTTAACATTACAACCAAGACAGTCAAATGCAACCCAGGAGTTTTAAAACTCAACCGGAGTCAGTGATGACTGATGAGTTTTATAATATAATGTAAACGCTAACGTTAGATAGTACTGGTGACTGGCAACAAACAAGACAGAAGGCTAACCGTAAGCAACTGGATGCTGTGTTGTCAAATATAACGTTATAGCCTATGTTACATTAGAGGCAAACTGAAAACTAAAAATTCAGTCCAAATGCAATGATTGGTCGGAGTTTTCTTACAACCATATGAGGATGGTATAATTATGAGTTTTTATTTCTGGTGGAATTCACTTACATTTTAGTGTGCCATCATCTCATTAATAGCATTTTAACCTAAACAAAGAAAAGCGTAAAATTTCCAGAAAGGTAAGTGTTGCTTTAAGAGTGGTGGAATGTAACTAAGTATATTATTTTTAATAATTATTTTATAATTATATATATTTTTAATTGAGTTCTATCAAAGTCCAAACAGACAGTTTAATCAAACTCATAGGACTCAATAGCCGTACCTTTCCAGGCCTTCTGTGAGACACACTTACAGCAGGAGGTAACATGAAAGTGGAAGTGAGTTACAGTACAGAGGCCAAAATGGACCAGTAGAGTAAATGTAAATACAGGTATAAGCATAGAAAAACAAATTCAAAAAAAAAAAACTGAGCTCATTATATAGAACCAGATCGTTGGATAAGAAAATTCACCTCAAACAAATGAAGATCATACAGGTGTGATACACACCATCCACTTTTCACATCTTTCAAAAGCTTATCTTGTTGCAGTCTGATAGGAAAGTAATCCTTTCCATCTTAAAGATATCATATATAATATCTGTTCAGTCATCAGCTGTAGGTTTGCTGGTTTTAGTCTCTCTCTAATAATGGCTTTCTTGCTGCACTCAGGATCCCAAATAGATATCTCTCATGAGAGGTAACACAGTCCAGAGGCAGGGTGCCCAAATATAGCGTTGCTAGTTTTAATGAAATGTCCACCTGGAATACTTTTTGCAAAACTGTGTGAACCTGCTGCCAGAGAGGAATTAATGATCGGCAAGACCAGATATGTGATAATGATTGGCACCAGAGAACCCACATTGTCCCATTCCTCCTCTGTCATACCTACGCTCCCTTCCTATTCGGCCTGTTCATCAAGAATATTTTTATTCAGTTTTAACAGGATTACACAAAACATGCTCACAGCAGGTATCAGACTTAAAGCATATGTATGATGGGGAGCAAAGCTTGAAGTCAAACCCTCCCCATACCATAACCCCTAATAGCAGCGAGAGGAGGAGGGATGTCTTTGTAAAGGCAGGCTCAGAATGATGGGGTACTTTATGCATTCACACTGGCGCTATTTGGTCCGCTTTAAATGAACCCCAGTCCACTTCCACGGAAAGTTCAGTTCGTTTGGAGTGGCGTGAACGCTCATTCGAACTCTGGTGCGGACCAAAGGAGCGAACCCTGGTCCACTTGAAAACTGGGGGTCTCGATTCACTTGCATGTGAACCCTGGTGCAGTTTGCTTACAGTGGGAAATGCAAACGTCCTATCCAGCGAACCAAAGAGAGGAAGTGACGTAGAGCGCAGTGCATTTTGGGAAGACAAAAACAGTCAACAGCGTGAACTAGGAGAAGCCGAGGTAAAAAAGAAAAAGTTGAATAAAGTCTGGTGGGCAGACGTGGAGTAGTGAGGAGGTGCAGGCGCTTATTGATATGTGGTCAGAGGACAACAAATCGCTGAAGGGGATGGATTTCCATTTTCGGTCCTGGCCAATCAATGAAGCAGGTTTTCTTCTTCCTCATGCTTTTTTTCTTCCTGGTCAGTGGTCATTTTGGGCAATACCGCCCCCAAAACGAGCAGCTGTTGTAACTGCGTGACATTGTTCGGACGGTTTGGTCCGCTTCAAAAAATGCAGAGTGAACGTGAACCGGACTGTCCTGGTGTGAATGCGCCCACTGGCAGAAAGCACCAAGAACAAGAAACAAACACAAAATCTCAGTTTAACTGGCAACTCTGAAAGTACTTCAGTGAAGGGGCCCCAAACCTGTTGGAATTTTTTATTTGAGTCACTACTTGAGTGGCAAATCTTTTCAAGATTAAGGCAGGACACAATGTCCTTCAGCCACTGGGTGTGGGTGGGCGGGGCAGCATCCCTCCATCTGATTAAAACAGCCTGTCTGGCCAGCACAGAGGCAAAAGACAGTGTACAGCGTTGGGTCGGAGTCAGGTGTACATGTTCCTCTGCGGTGGTGCCAAAGAGGGCGACCAGGGGGTCTGGCTGCAGGTCAAAGTTAAGGATAGAGGACAAGGATTGAAAAACATCCTTCCAGTATTTTTTAAGGCTTGGACACGTCCAGTACATGTGAATAAGCGAAGCCTCACCACCTGAACATTTGTCACAGCCAGGGTTCACATCTGGGTAAATGTGTGAGAGTCTAACTTTAGACCAGTGGACTCTGTGTATTCTGGCCCAGGCCTAATGACACCACTGCTTTTTACTTCACTACATTAATCTGACAGCTTCAGTTACTTTACAAATTAAGTTGTTTTTTTTTCACACAAAACGTTTGAAGAGTTTATAAAATATGATGTTCTGTTATAAATGAAACTACTCAACAATTTCTACATGCACAGCTGCAATGATTAGTTGATTGAAAGCTAATGTGAAACTATTTTGATGGTTGAAGTCATTTTTCATGTGAAAACATTTCAAGTTTCCAGCTTCACAATTTTTTTCCTATGAATGAGGTTAATTGTTTTTTCCTGACACAAATTGATCAATAAAACTGTGCACTGATAAGTATCAGTCAGGATCATATGAATGCGAGTGCTGAGCTGCAGGTCTTCCTCTGAACCACTGGAGGACTCTGTCACACCGATAACACGCAGGCAGCTGGACTCATGGTTCAGGATGTGTCATTTCTGATGCAGCACACTGTCGTTTATGCAGCACTGATTTTAAGTGATGAGTTTCGGAGGCAGCCCTGCTTCTGAAAAAAATCGCCTGATTTTCTTTTTCCTGGTACCACAAGCAAGATGTGTGACAGAATAAAGTCAGATAAGTTAATCACCGTACCAAAAGGTGAGCAGGGAGCTTTAATGTGTCCAGCAAACATCATGCATGTGTTAATTTTAATAGAAATACAAGTGGAATTTCTGTCCTGATGGTGACAAAGGAGGAAAAGTCAGGGTGTTGGTGACTCCTCAGCATAGTGCTCTGTGGACTGTGACTGTTCACAGTGAATTCCAAGAGAATCTGTCCTGCAGTTGGTCAGATGGTGATGTGTATGTATCTGCTTTGTACCTCCATTTTGAACCTTTTCTCCTGTTTTCCTTCACGTCATCTCAGATCACTGATAAGAGAGTGTCCAGACTTCACGGGCTGCTGGAGAACCTGGACGGACAGCTGCGTCTCAAACCGGTATGTCCTCTCACTGAAGGCTTAAAACATCCACACCAGTGGTTTGCCATGTTGACCATTAGCTTACTGGTGAACCTTTTCATATGTCTACCATCAGTTATTAAAGCTGGAGTCTCTAACTTTTTTTAAGTTATGGAATTCAAATGTTATTATTTAATGTTGTCTGTGTGGCTCTGAGCTGCAGCGTGCTGCTTTTGTGGCTGACTGTGTGCAGTGAAGTCTGAACAAACGACAGTCACTGTGATGCTGCAACAATCAAAGTCAACTCATGTCACTTTAGTGTGTTCAGTGTGTATCTGGTTGATCCACCAGATAAATCATACGTAGGTCCATGTAGAATCTGCGCCTGCAGAACAGATTTTAGAGACCTGTCCAGGTGTGCCTCTCCTCTCACCTTACTGGGGATTGGCTGCAGCCTTGTTGTGAGAGGATAAGTGGGTAAAACTAGCTGATGGATGGAAGGTGTCTGGTGATTGTACAGTATTGGCATCAAGAGAAATCTTGCGTTTCAGGAGCAATGGCTGTCAAAGGTTGCTGAAAGGTCTCCATTTAGTAGCTGTAGTCATATACAGTCGTAACAAATACATTCAATACTCTGATCTTTATCCGTCCTGAGGGAGGTGGAGTCACTGGAGTCAGACGGAGGTCTATTAATAACATAAATCACACCGTCTTATTGAATTATCATTTGCTTTATTGACTTGAAGGGATGTTAATGCATCAGCACGTTTCAAATCGTCATCTCAGACAAATAATTAACACCTCACAGTCACAACACTTCTTTTAATCGTGTGTTGGAATCAATCACATCAATGAATTCAGTCTCTTGACATCGCAGCTACAGATATTCTTCAGAGAGCAGCCCGCAGCTGTGAGGCCACATCGATGCTTTAACCGTCACACCTGCATCATAAAACAGAGAAAATGCAAATGCTGTCAATTTTTTCTTTTTCATCGTTTCCTTTTTAGTGGCAGTTTTTTCGCTGCTGGGCTGTGAGCGTAAAGGAAAATCATCCACAGATTTCAGATGATTGTTCCAGGTGAAGAATCAGGTCGCTGTGACCTGTTAAACTGAGGGGTACAGAGAGAGTGCACTCTGACAGAAGCTCCCTACACACTGTGCAGTTATGGTGATTTTGCAGGTTTATTGTGTGTCACACTGTGGGATGGGTCTAATAATAAATCTCAGCTGCTGCTTGTGTCAGATTGCACAAGGCTGTGCTGAGATGTAAATAAATTATACATGCATGTGGAAGCTCTAAATCTTCTAGCGATTAAAATTCTTTTTCCGGAGTGTTTTCCTACAGAAATGGAATATTATATAATAAGAGTGTTGCATATAATCACCTGAAATCAGTGTTAATTTTGACAGCTACTTTATATTTAGTCTGAGTCTTGAGATAAAAATGTTTCTTAGTTTTAGTCACATTTTAGTCTGTTAGTCAATATATTTTGTATATGCTTTTTTATATCTTTAAATTAATCCAGTGAGGCTGATTCATGGATCATAAATCAGACTCAAGGTGACAGGTTGTATAAAATAATGTGTGTGTCATGTCTCCAGCAGTGTGTGACAGGTTTAAGGGCTGATTTACGAGCACACACTTACTGATCATCATCTGAAAAGCTCAACATCTCTCTATTTATGCTCTCAACAAATAACTAATGTGAGCCAACTAGGATTTGTCCCCAGGTTCATTGTAAACTCTGACTTATCCATGTGACTGTTAAGAAGCAGAAACATAACTTGTTTCTTCATGTGCAACATGTTAGTCTGGAGGTTTAAACTGGTGTCCTCTCACAGAGTTGGTGATTCAAACTAAACTTTCATCTCTGTCAGAGAAAACTGATCTGAGTTCAGACTGTTTACTTACAGCACAGCTACACTCACAGATAACTGAGCCTCCTACCTGCCTGTCAAACACCATCAACCCACAAACCTTCTCCAGTCCGGACTGAGTGGAGTCCTGCGGGGTGAAGCTGTGAAGGCTGCGAGCGGAGCTAGCTGCTAACTGCTAACAGCCACCGCTGCAACTAACAAACTCCACAAATCCATTCAGCAGCTCCACCATCCACAGTCAGACACACATGGCTGATTATTTACTGCTGAATTACAGCTCACAACTCACACCAACCCAAACATCCTGGTGCAGACTATTTACTGGAGTTCACCAGCCTGATGCTCATCAGGCATCTGAAGATCATTACAAGCACGGCCGCTCTCGGCTTTCAGTGTCTGATAGTCCACCACTAACATTTTTTCTCACGTCTCATCTCGTCAGCAAAAATGAAACATAGAGTTTGTCTTGGTTTTTATTATCAAGATCTACTTTTAGCTTGTCAGCATCTCATTTTCACATGGAAAAGGGTTGTTGACGAATTATTTCCATCGTAGTTTTTGTCAATGAAATCAACACTGCCTGAAAATAAGGATTGTTGTGTTTTTGTTATCTTAGAATGAGCCGTTTATATCTACACAGGGAGCAGGTCCTCGTCTACGGAGATTGCCATATTGCACTGCCATGTTTCTACAGTAGCCCAGAACAGACAAACCAAACACTGGCTCTAGAGAGGGACATTTGCATTTTTATGTTTTTGCATCGTTAGAGGCCCATCTTTGAAGACCAACATCAGAAAACACTGATTCGTAACATGAAACTGCTTTATTCAGTGTTTTACTGGGTAAATCAGCTGCTCTGTTTGTTTTTGAGAGGAGGAGACCTCTGAGGATAACTCAGCTGCTGAACAATGAACACTGAAGGAATTCTAACCAGGAGAAGTTTCAGCTGGCTGCAGTCTGCAGTCCTCACCGCTAGACGCCACTAAATCTCACACACTGGACCTTAAAGATGTCTTTTAAAAGCAAACAGAGATTGAATGATGAACAGCCCGTCTGTATCGAAGTGAAAATTGAAGAACAGGATATAAAAGAATGACTGAATTAGTTTCTGCGTGCTGAAACTGCACAAATAGGACTAAAGAAGCTGTGTGATTCAGTGACAAACCTGCTGGAGTTCATCAGTTCATCCTCTTGTCGTTTTGATCTTTAGACCCACCTGAACCCGTGCTTTGTTCAGTCGTCCCTGACCGACGAGCCTCAGCCTCTGCAGAGAGATACCTGGTACCCTCTTCATCATGGAGACTTGTTCTCTCTGCTGCCGGGCCGCTTCATCTACAAAGTGGTGGCCATGGGTGAAGAGGACCGCACTCCCAGGTACTTACACGTCAGACAAAGTGCTCCCCGCTATGTCGAGATTAAGTTATGAATCTCATTTGCTGCGATTTCCCGCCGACATCTTTGTGTATAATGAAATCAAGACGTAAGAGGCTGCGCTCCACTGTTTAATTACAGTCTTATCTTTCATCTTGGTGGAGCAGACTGCGTGGGGTTTAATGGGATCTGGTTTAAGTGTTATCTGGTGTCTCAATTGAAAGCCAACATTAGGGACATGGTTGATTCATGTAGTCTTTGGGCTGCGGTAATCTTTCATCTATGAGTTAGCGTCCCGTCTATTGTCCTGCTGCCGGCTCTCTGTTTGAAGTTCAGATCAAACAGACGGGAAATGGACACTCGAGAACATGTTGCCACCATTCAGACCAGACAAAGCTCATGTAAAATTCATACACAAGTTCAGCTTGTATCAGAGCAGCAGCATTAAGGTTCTTTTTCTAAAAAAGTCTCTCTCTGTCATTCAGGGGTTTTAAAAGTGAACTGCAGCCTCGGTTGTTCAGGCTGAATGTCACTTTTCAATCTTTTTTTCTTCCTGTAGAAACAGTCAGATGTTTGAAGAAGAAAAAGAAGAACTGCCAGTTTCTCCAAAGCCAGATGCAGAACAACCTCTTCCTCCTCCTTCTCCTCCTCCTTCTCCTCCTCCTGTTGGACAGACTCCACCTCATGAGGAGCCGACACCAGCAGCTCCGTCGGACCAGGAGGACGCCGACGACACAAGTTCAAACAAGGTCTGTTTAACTCACAGAGCAAAATCTTTATGAGCGGAGAAGCAGCGGAGCAGGAAGTTGTGTCACGTCGATCTCTTTCAAGGTAGCTCCCGTTGACAAGACGTTTTTATCATTTAGATATGTGGACGTTACAAACCACGAGATGATCCACACCTGCATCTCTGCTAACTTGGATTCTTTTGCCTTTGAAGGTTCAGTGTGTAACTCTATGTTGAGTGTCATTTCCAGGTCGTCAGATACTGATGCTTTGGGTTAGTAGTCGCACCGAACCACCAAATAAAAGCATCGTGATGAGACTCAACGATCAGCTGTCTTTCAAGCAGAGTGTAAGGGTTGAGTGATTCATCGACATAATCAATGTCATTAATGTCATAGTTAGTTAGTTGTCACATCACAGTAAAGTAAACTGCACCTGAGACAAGCATGAATTCTTATGGAGAACAAGCTGCAGCTAAAAACCTCGCTGCCAACGTGAAAATGGCTTCTCACAGGAGTGCAACTGCAGCGCACAGACGCTTGAAGTCAAAGCATCCCGCAGCACTGTCTTAAAACAGCAGGTCAGGTAAATTTTCTGCACCGCTGCTGACATGACATCATGCGTCATCTAACAATGTTATTCGGCCATTTTATATTTTCTGTTTATGTTAACAGGCATGCAAACCAAACTGCTGCAACTCTGAGAGACGCTCAAAATAACTAACTGCTATCTTATAACCTTCACGTGTGGCGTCGGCACGTTTTTACATCACAGCTTGCTCTGCTAAGTTTTAGCGAGAAAACGACCACGTCAAAACCGTACTGAAGACATACGTAATGATTTCAGTACGAGAATATAAAGTGAGAACATGTAGGGGCGGGATATGTAAATGGTGATTGTTTTCAGCTGCCACATTTATCAACGTCGTTCATTCCTACGCTGTGATCGTTACATGAATCACACACAAACCCTAACGGTAGATGATTTCTGCACTGGTTTGTACGTTAGATTAATACATGAGGGCCAATGAGAGCGGGAGTGTGTGAATATGAAAGATTATTTGTGTCCAGCAGTGACACAGACTCTGAGTTCGGACCATGAGGTTGATGAAATACATGGATAAACTGTGACGTTAACAGAATCTTTCCCGCTGTTACCAACAAAGATTGGCGCACAAAGCCTTCAGATATCAGCTTCTCATCATTAGCTGATTATATCAAATCTTAATGACTCCACCAATGATCATCGGCGAGGAAAGAAGCTCTGCTGTTTCTGTCATGAGATGTCTTCACGTCACTTTCAGGAGTCACATTCTGTCAGTTAAACTTTCCTTCATATCAGATCAGTAATTTAAGTTGATCAGCGTCACAGTTTTCAGCAGCTCTGATGATAAACCCACCGGACATTATTGAGAACTGCTCTCTGTTTTCATGAAGGGAGACTCTGCACAACCAAAAGAAGGAGACGACGACAACGACAACGACCAGAGAGATGTCACTCCGCCTGTAACCAAGAAAAGAGTTTTACCTGCGTGGATGATGGCAGCTGCAGCAGCTGCACAGAGTCTGTCCTCCTCCCCCAGTCTCAAAGGTACCGTGCTCATGATTCATGGGTTTATTGTGTTTTATTTTCATGTGTCCGTCCACACTGGCAAACTTAAACCTGAACTGTCCAGATCTGTGAATGGATCTGTCGTTACATCACAATACATGTACCGGTTCCTCAAGGTCCTAAAAAATTCTTAAAAGTTCCCCTTTTTTAAATTCCTCAATGTCTGAAGTCATCTTTCCCACCAGACAAGAAAACATGAACATTTGGGTTTTGTATTTAGTGGGAAATGTTGGACAAATGACTCTGCAGTCATCACAGGTATTTATCAGCTCCAGCTCTGATCAGCAGTGACGGAAACATGACACCCAGCAACGACATGCCGCCACATATTCAATCCGCCTCCATCCAAGCAGTGTTAGAACATCGTTCCGTGTCTGGTGGAGGAATGTTTTCAGCTGATGTTGTCCAGGTGCTGCTGACGGGACGCCACTAACACACTGCAGGCATTTGTTGACCTTAAATAGCAGCTGAACCCGACACACAGTGTGAGAGTGTTAAGCAGGCGGACTGCTGTGATAATGGATGAAGGGACGTCAACAAGAGAATAAGTAAAAGTGTAACACAGCGGTTATCCTTTCTCTGTACATCAGGATGTTCTCTGATAATTATAGGAGATAAAAGAAGCCTTCGTGTGTGTGTGTGTGTGTGTGTGTGTGTGTGTGT